AAAAATGTACAAGTGACAAGAACGGCTTCTGTATTCCACGCTTTTTTTAGAACGATTTCAAAATGCTACACTGAGAAATACTTTCAAAACGTGTTCTTTTTTGGAATAGTTTTAGCACTTCAGCTCGCCGTTTCCTAGAAGTTTCCATTGCTGCCTGTGATCTTTGTGCAAAGTGTTCAGCGGAAAAGCGGTTCCTGAAAAGAGTCATTTTGGGCAAAATTCTTTTTAGAGTGTAGTGTATTAAATATATATACCACGCGCATAACTCTAATCTATCAAGGAAAAAAAAGAGAAATTTCTTTTTTATCACATTGCTTTTTCAATTAAAAAACGTATAGATGAATTGCATTAGAAGGGAAAGGAAAAAATGCACTTAAACGGGGTCATGTGATAACTACTATGCATATGCTTTCATCGGAAACCACTTATGCTACAGCATATTGTATAAGACGTGTGGTCGACAAGTTTCAATAAGATAGTAAAATGTGCTAAATGGTGGATTTCAACTGTCTGTCTCTGTTTTTGACTATCAGGTTATAGTCGGTCTTACACTCAGTGATCTCTGAGTTAACCCTTTGTTTACCAGCGTCCCAAATTGTGGACGCTTTTTTTAAGTTTCTTGATTTCCGAATAACTCGCGACCGCAAGAAGATATCGAGATGCGACGATGCGGTTTTGTCTGCTGATCTCTAGTATGTTATTAATTTTGCTTGCAAGTATATGAGATGTGAAAAAGGTGGAAAATAAATGAAATAAGCGTAGGTTGACTGCAACGTCCTCTTGACAATATTTTACCTATGGATATTTTCTCCCTAATTTTTCATTACTAGATCTTTACACGATTATGACGAACATTAACCACAGAAGATATGGAAGAATGGACGACCCTTGGTTCCTCATTCTTGCCTCCCTATGTATGTTTTAATAGCGAGTGCTCATATTCAATGAATATCTCGAATCATACAATAGTTAACTCTCATACTTTCTGTGGATAATCTAAAGACATTTTAGAGTATCTGGTGCAATTTTGAAGTGAAAATAATATTCTTAGGCTGAGTTATGAATTTTTTTGGAAGGGGGTCTCAAACTTCAAAAGTGACCCCCGATCATAAAATAGCTGTATTTCAGTAACTATTAAGAGCTAACACTTCAAATTCATATCATGGATAGAGGAGTGCTGCATTTTGGTAAAAAGGAAAAGCTTTCACCTCTCTTGGATCAGGAGTTATTAGCATTTTACAGAAAAGAAATGAAACGTTTCCACCTCACAAACCATCTAGTAAAAGAGGCTCAAACTTGGTGAGTGATTCAGCTTTCGGTAAGAGCTATGACCACACAAAATTAGAAGTCCCTAGCTATCATGGTCGAGCAATGGTACTCAGAGGGTTAATATGTGAAGTTTTGTGCATACGACAGAGCTTTCTGTTGCGAGAATGATAAATCGCACATCCCACACTAAGCCAAGGTAACGAGAATGGGAGATTAGTGACTGCTGATGACGCCGAAATGGATTTTGGCTAAAAGTAGGCCATCATTGATATTTTGATTATTTAGCGTGGATAAAGTGGAGTGTTGATCGATTATTCTGTGATCCTAGAACACCAGTATAACGGAAAAAGACCAGGATGAAGTCGTGGTGTTTTCAGATGTGTTATGCTGATAGATGCTTGACAAAGTTGTTTGTATCTTTTCGAGAAGATAGTTGCATATGAATGGATTCCGGATTGCGACAGATTGAGAGTGAAATTGCGAAAAATACAAATTCGTTAGACTGATTTTCCATATAAATGACGCCTGAAAAATATTCTCGTACTATAGAGGCAATAAATTATGTACATGAACGAATGCATCATAATCTAGAAAAAAACTGGCATTTTAATATCATGATCGATAATGAAAATAATGCTCTATCAATTTCGAGGAAGAAGTGCGGAGCATGAGTTATATGATCACGTGATTTGTATGCCCAAGAGGATTCAATTCAAGATTCAATTGCGCACATAAATATCGAAGTTATCTCGCACAATGCATTTATAGGATTGATGCGACAATGTTCGATACCATCTTATCAAAACTTTGCTATCGTTATTGTTCAAATATATGAAGAAAAAAATGTTCTATGTCTGAGAGAATTATTGAATTTCTCATTTCAAATATTTAACATACTTAACTAAAACAACAAGAATATATCTGATTTTATACATTATTTTCGATTCCGACATATACCGGAAGATATTATAATAAAATTGTGAATACTAAACCTTTAAGAGAAAAACAATGTTCATTTTTAATTACATTTTATTTTCAACAGTCATACGCAAATTTCAATATTCAGTATTTGTTGGTAACCCAATTAACAGCATCTGAAGCAAACTCTTGACATCTTTTTCAAAAAGTCTCAACAACTATTTTCAAATTTCGTTGCTGATGAAAGCAGCTATATAGTCATGACTATTTTTGTAACATTTTTAAACAATAGACCATTTAGAAAGACATAATAATAAATGTTTTATACTTTGCTCTTTCCTTGCAAGTTTTTTTATTTTTTTGATGGTTTCAATACAGTATATTAATCGGAAATTATTATTTTGAGATCGTGTTTTAGAGAATTTTTTTTAAAATGTTCTTCTATTGCTCTCTTTTTATTTGCACAAACATTTAATCTATTCTTAACACATTTACGTTATTTTTTTTTTGAGCTTCTCACTACCATTTTTTAAACTTAACGAAATCATAAATAAAAAACAGAAGAAAAGAAAAAAAAGACTTTAAACACTTCAAATTAACGGTCATTATAAAATCAAATATGTTTCCATGAACTGCAAAATATTTGTTTGTTATAGTGAGTGTTTAATGTGTTTTGAAAATAATGTGATGAATGAATAAACAAAACAAGACATACAATATAATTTGAAAAAAGTTATCTGTAAGTATTGCTACCAGACGTCAGAGAACAATCGATTTTCTGGTGGATACGCTTGCAGCCGTGAGTAATATAGTTGATTTCATACAAGAATTCGTCCACTAAACGATATAGTTCTCTTAGAGAAACCTTCTGTTTGCGAGAGTAAAAAAAGAATGATTTGGATATATCAGTTTGAATCTAATGAGAGAAGCCCCCTAAGTGTCCAGTCGCTTTTTCCTTAAACCATACACGGTTGTAAGTAAACTTTGATGCTGATCACGAATCTGATATCCGTTTTTGCTGCTAGGCCTTTATCGGGTGGGTCTCTGAAATCCGTGTGTCCGAAGACCCGCTATGAATGTTCAGCTGAACGTAGCTTGGCACTGCCAGATTGTAGAGTACGTTGAGTTACCATGTAGAAAAATTTCCAGAACCAACGAGAAGGTTTCTGCAGAGATAGAAAAGTTCAGAATTCAAAATCCTGAGATATTTTGGTTCCTTACTAGATTAGAAAGTAAACTTTTTATTTCTCTGCGAAAACTTGCTCGTTGGTTCTGGAAATTTTTCTACATAGGTAATTCAACGTGCTCTACAAACTGGCAGTGCCAAGATACGTTCAGTTGGAAGTTCATAGCGAGACTTCGGACATCCGGATTTCAGAGACTCACCCGAGAAAGGCCTAGCGGCAGAAACGGATTTCAGACTCGTGATCAGCATCAAAGAGTACTCACAATTGTGTATGGTTTACAGAAAAAGTGATTAAACACTTGGGATCATTTCCTCGTAAGACATATAAAATTAAGTATACTCTACAAAATGAGATTTTTAGTAGATATTCCCATGAGAAGCTAAAAATTTTTAAATAGTCGCTGTAATATCTCAAAAGTTTGTCTTGTTTTGCTTTTTTAAATTTTTGTTCATATTTCTAACGTAAGATTCAACACCACTTTCAAAATGTGACGCCGAGTTAAAAAAAGAAAACTAACCTTTTTTTCTTCAGAACAAACCGTCACGCGTATATAACCATCCCATTCACGAGAAAGAAGCATTTTTCTCAAAAACTGCGACCGTTTCATGTGACTAAATTTTTCAATGAAAAAATCCGAATTATTCATTCGATAGAACGCAAAGAGTTGTATATATGATGTAAGTGGTAAGGTTATAACTCTAAAGCTTATCAAGCGATCTTAGTTGAGACAATTAAAAATAGATGAAACCTGCATTTTATTTTTCTTGAGAAGATGCGCCGCGAAATATTCTACAAAATCATACTTAAACTTTAATTTCAGAACTTTAATCAAGAAAACTATGCAAATTATACGAAAGACGAAAAAAATGAAAACTTTCTAAAGTCAAAAACGATTTCTTGTGTTAACATTTTTATGTTAAATTTTTATGTATATTTTAATAACTTCGTTCTCCAGCACACCACCTGCTCTAAAAAAAGGTTTTCCAGACTACGAAAAAGAGCACACTCAAAAGTAAAAAAAGAACTGCGTTCTCACTTTTACTACACTTTTTTACGGAAATAATAGCAGACGAAAAAAAATTCAGGTCGAAAAAATACCAATTTTACCCTTACTCTGCTTTTTTTAAAACTGAAGCGCAAATCCTCTCCTTTACGTTCACGTTTGATTGACTATAAAATAATCTAAAAATACACTCTTGCATGCAAGATTTGTTTTACATCGAAATAGAGTTCAGAAATTGTGAACAAGTACAAGATGGGATTGATTGCAAAACAACATGTATAGAAAAAATAAAGAGAGACCACAAAAACACTTATACAGAATTTTTTTGTAGCTTTAAGCTTTTATTTGCTCAAAACAAATAATAAGAAATTTAAGTGAAAATAATTAAGCTTGACAACCATGTTTGTAATAACTAATATTTACCTTTGTCTCAAAAAGAAGATACATGTCCATGTTTCAAACCAAGTACGCTTACACGCCTAAATGAGAATAAGAAATAGTACCAATTCAAGAAAGATCTATTAAGTTCTTATGTGTTCTACTTTTTTTGATTCTAGGTACGTATCAACGTTCGCACCTTTTCATGTATCTTTTTTTTTTCCAATGACATCTAAGTAATAAAAATGGCAACTGAAATAAAACGATCTGAATCGTCTCGATTAGCGGCTGGCAGTCGTAGTCGATTTGGTGGATTAAGTTCAAATATGTTTTTTACACGAAATACAGCAAAACCAAAGCGTGTGAAGCATATAGAAGGTAAGTGATCATAATCGACAATAATTTTTTTCAAGAATCATTTGCTCTATTCTAAGGTTTAAATGGTGCATTAATTTGTAATGTGAATGATGACGAGTATATATCACCAAGTTCTAGTTCATTAAATTTTATTCCAACAAATAATCTCATGACATTTGAAATTCCAAGACGTGTCGAAAAATTAGTTCCACCAACGGGTTTTTGGAACACATATGGTGTTAGTAAGTATCAATGAAGACTTTTAGGTATTTAAATAATTTTAGTTTTAATATTTAGTTCATGATACTGAACGTTGGAAACAAGAATTAGCTGCATTAGCATCGGCCAGTGGTCTTGAGATAGAAAATGAACAAAAACAACAAAATAATGATTTATCACCAAAAAGTACTGCAAATAATAAAAATGATTCACGCTCAGGTGCACATTATTCAACAAAAACTGGCAGATTTAACGAAGGACAAGGAAAATCACGAGGACGAACATCGAGTAAACATGCAACAGCTCTAAATGAAGCATTATTTAGTGTACCAGAAAACGAAAGAGATATGTGGGTAAGATGAAAACAAAAAGAATGTACATCATCAAATTTGCTTATATAACACAAATTTATATTCAGATGTTACAAGTTTTATGTCAATTACTTAATACAAGTAATTTAGAAGATGTACAATCCTGGCTTGTTTCAGCTTCACCAACAGGTACTGTTATTTCACCAATCATTGTTGTACAATCATTTTTTACTTAAATTCTCTTTTTTCTAGAAAAAGAACAAGCTCGAGGTATGATTAATTCGGCATTGAAAGGATTAAAAGAATCAGAACGTATATCATCAAAAGCGGATCAATTGAACAATACAATTGATTTGAACGCATTGTCAGATGTAGTTGAAAGGCATGAAATATGTGTGAAATTAGTCTTGTATAATATCTAATATTTTGTGAGTTTTTCTAATTTTAGACGGAAGAATGACGATAAAAAAGCGTCTAAAAAATACGTAAAAGACTCGTTAAATCGTTCATTGCCCGCTATGGAATCAATCAATGAAGAAGATCACACGTTCAATCCTACTATAAATGATTCATGGAATAATAACACCGAAGTATCCGCTGCAACGAAAAATTCTGACAATTCATCGAATTTAACCACTTATAAACGAGCATTCAGAGATTATGACAAACCGTATCAACAGTCAACATATTCATTTAATTCATCCGAAGATCAAACATTAAAAGATGATGATGATGAAGTAGAAACAATTCAATTAGACAACGAACGATCTAAATTATCATCAGTAAAAAATAAACGAAATAAAAAAGTAACCAGTTCTCAACAACAACATCGTCAACAAAATTCATCATCTACAGAAAAACAAATTGAAACACTTCAACTAGATGATGATGATACAAGTAAAACTACCCCAACTATTATTAAAGTAAAACCAAAAAATGAACAGAACGAAGAAGATGATGAAGAAGAAGAAGATAATAAAAGATCACCATCTATAACAAATATGGATCCAAAAACAAAAAAAATTCATCTACTAAAAAATAAATTATCTCGACAAGAAGAACAATCTAAAAAACAACTTAATGAATTACAAACAAAACAATCACGATTAGAAAATGCCATTAAACTTTTAGTGAAACAGACATCACAATTTCAACAAAAACAACGACCACTAAGAACAAATAACGAAACAGATGAAAGTAAAGTTAATAATAAACATCTGTTCAATAATATAAAAAATAATAATAATTGAATATAGTGAGATTTAATATATTCTTTCCATTTTTAGACTCTGATGCACCTATTGTCAATGTTATCATACAATCTCCACGTTCGAAAACAAATACTACCGTTCATCATCCCAATACAGGTACAAAAAATACAAATGGTGGCATTGATAGTATTGACTCAGCAGTATATAAAGTAAATGATGTTAGAGTACAAATAAGTCTTTCTCGTCTAGATGATAAGAGACCAAAAGTTTATAGTGGGATATGGAAACCGGATGAATCAACGTTACGTCGTTTACAATCTACATAGAAAAAAATATTATCACTTATTATTGGGCAATGTAACCTGTGTTTTTTAACTGATGAAACTCTATTTAAAATTATGCGCACTATACTCTATAGGCGACATTTTATCGTTTGAAAAAATGCCTAACGATTAAAAGGAAAAGTCCTTTGAGCAATGGATTTTTTCAATGTTCAACAATGAGCTAAAAACTGAATATTCTTTTATTCTATCTATCTCTGTCGAAATACAGTGTTTTTTTTTACAGTAAACTGAAAAGAAAAATGTCTCTAAATTTTTAAAAGTAGAATTGAGCCAAACTGAAGGGATGGTAGTACACATATTCAAAATTTTAAGATTTTGTTCCTTCATTAGAACAAAACTCTCAGCATAATCTCAGCCAAACTCTCACATAAAAATCTTCTTTTACATAGATGCTGGTAAACTTGAATGAAGTTGCGACGTGAAAAGATTGACAATGTGACAATGACAATTGTTTTATTTATTTATTTTATCTTTTATTGATTGATCTTGCATGTCAAGAAATCCAAAAATCAATTTGAACTTTTTTAGAAATTCTTCTTTCTAGAAAATGAGATCATAGTTCTAGCATCAATTTTTTGCAAGACTTCTGAGAAAGTTTTGGAAAAAGCCTAATAAGTAGAAAGTCTTAATAATTAACCCTAGAACGCACGCCTGCGACTCCGGACTTCGAAAATATTATTCTGATCCCCATCCTATGCATTGTTATAGTGTGTTCTACCCATGGTGCCCAAATCACGAGTTTTTCGTAAAAAATCAGTTGATCAGGAGATACTTTCTAAAAAATCAGGAGCACAATAACAGCAGAGTATCAGGCAGTTTTTTCTTGGATAAGAAAAATTTTCATTCCCACAAACGCGTGTGACTATTTTCTACCAAGCAAGTGATGCAAAGGTCTATCTTACACGCGAAACAAAGGAAAGGAGAGAAAGATAATTACATGTAATGTATTCTACTGGTATTTTCCCAGCTGTTGATTTAACAGTATAAACAAAACAGATACAAATGTTTCTTAAGAAGCCGAGAAGAACCAAAACAAACAAAGCGAATATGGAGAACAAACTGTTTACTACACCGTCTGTGGTTTTTTGTGCAACATGACTGTATTGCACGCCAGTTCTCGTTTTCTTCTCTGCTTTTTTATTGATCCAAAGTATCGCTAAAATGTCGCTAACACGAAAACAATTGAAAATCAGAAGAAAATCTTAAAAATCAGCTCCTGAAATCAGCAGAATTTTCATCAGGAGAAAAGGAAAAAAATCAGGAGTCTGCTAGTCAAATCAGGAGATTTGGGTATTCTGGTTCTACCCCATTGCTCAACCCATACAGCCTATATCCTTGATCAATGACCAAAGCCTGTATACTCTGTGATGAGTTATAGACAGATGTTATAGATACAGACACGTGTGATATAGACAGAGAGTGATGCAGGTAGTATCGAGATGATGGAGCGAGACTAGACAGCACGTGTTTCTCAAAGAGAGATTACATCATACAACAGAAAAGTTATCCGTTTTAAAGTCAGATATATACGTCAGATATATGTTTGCGTTGATAAAAAGCATAATATCCATACTTTTTACTACGTTATCAGATGAGTCATAAACCTTTCTATATATATGTTCTTTAACAAAAAAACAACTACGTTTGAAAACCACATATCAAATGAGGTTCAATCACATAAAAGTGATCATACTGTAATCAGCATTTTTTCCAAGTTTTTCGCCTAGATTTTTGCTCAAAAATCAAAGTTGTCTAAAAATTCCGAGAGAAAGATTGTTCAATGCAGTTTTTAACGGTGATTCCAAATATGATGTTGGTTTTGAGAAAAAATTGAAATTTGATGAAAACTGCAAAATATGAGTGCGTTTCCTTGATTTTTCTCATATTTAAATTATAACGGACTGAGTCAATAGTATGTAGTGATTGTTTACTCAAAATATTGTACAGCTTTTCAAGAACTATTTTTCTATACTAAAGACTAGTTGCATCCACTCTTGCTTATGGGGGGAAATGGGAAAATATGATCACTCAAGCATAGCCACTAGATAGGGAATGCTTGAAAATAAACCATTTCTCCTTAGTAATATGGTATGTAACTATGGTTCATATACCATTTTATTCAGTTTTTCAGTGGATATTTTTCTATATCAAATACAAGTCAGATCATTATTTGCAAATGGCGAAAAAAGTACTTAAAACATCTCTGATACCGGCATTTTAGGTTCAATTTGTCTGTTGTAGAAGCTATGCCTGACTCGGCCAATAATGGTTAAAGGTTCTTTATATACAATTTTGCAGAGTAAATCAAGGGCTATCTTTCTATATCAAATACAAGTTGCATCCTCGTTTGCATATGGCGCAAAAAAGTACTTAAAACATCCGTGATACCGCGTTTGAGGTCAATTTGTCTGTTGTAAAAATAATTTCTTCGTATTGAAAATGATTTATTTGAAAATGATGTATAAGGATTGTTCATAGAGTATTTTATTCAGTCTTCCACTGGCTATCTTTTCATACCAAGGTTTATGGGAAACTTTTGCTGGATTTTTCAGAAATGTTATTTTTTCTAAGAACGACGTTCTCTGATGGAATATAAACAACTGAGGTTCAAAACGTATTTTGAGTTTATTTTCCATAAGAACAACTGGGCAGTGTGTGGAAATGTCTTTTCGACAAAAGTCCAGTTAAAGTAAGGCAAAAAAATGAGGGGCCGTTTTCTGATCAAATACGCCTCCCTCCTTTAAAAAGCACTCCATTTTGTTCAGTTTTAGTCAGTTTTAGGCTTTCTAATGAAACGTTGCTCGAACAGAACGAATAAAATATGACGAAGTTATATACGAGCTCTAAAAGTTGTATGTATACGAGCTGTAAAAGTTATATAAGAACAGCTATGCGTTCTAGGGTTAATGCTGGAACAGTTGGTAATAGTTCGTATTTCTGCTAAGGTAGAGAATCCTAGAAATAGATGTAAATGACAGTTTAACATGTAAATGTTTTAGTAACTTTTGTGAATATTTCAAACAAAGCTCCAGATCCTGGTACTAACATTTGTAGCATGTAAGTACTTCACTGGTATTTAGGAAGACAAAAATCTGAGATTGTTCACATACAACATCAATGAACGTCCTATTTTAAGGGCTAATAAGACTGCTACACAATACTTTTGGATTTTATTCAGAAATGATTAATAGGAAGGAAAAAAGAGATATTTTTAAAATTAATGGAGACAACAGCATGATCGATTATCTAACTAATAAACTACGAACAAATGATAATCGATCATCTTATCGTCTCCATTGATTTTAAAACTATTAAAAATAATGTCACTCTCTCTTTCTTTTTCTTTCAAATAGTGTTCAATACTTGAAGACTTTTCTATGTAACACAAGTATGTAAAAATTTTCATGATTAATCACATGTTCTGACGATGATGTTAGTTTAAACATTGAAAAATTCGAAATAACCAAATGATTTTTGAATAAATGTCAAAATAAATTATTCATTATGTAGAAGTCTTACGCTTTTTTCTTTAATACTTAAAAATTACTGTTATACCATCTTCTTTCTTGACATTAATCTAAGATTTCTTTTGTCTATGTTTAATAAGCATTGCTGTTTATAATATAGATTATTCTTTAATATTTGGCTTGAATGAAATGTGTCTTGTGCATAGAGAACTTCGATGGGAAGATAACTATGCATAATATGACTTAGTCCGGCACTCAAATTAGATAGCAATGTGTTTTATTTGTAATTTTAAGTTTAGATAAAACATAATAGACAAAAACTGATATAATATTCCACGGTAGCAGCAACTTATTTATTTTGATATGAAGTTTTTTCTCTTCTTTCTCTTCAAGATGCTAGGCAAACGACTGTTTAATTGTATTGTTGAATTACATCGTCAATTCGTCGATAGTGATGAGTTAAGTTAAATCAAAATGAGTTCAAACCATGTGAGCACCGTGATAAGCGGACTTTGTATATCAGTTTAATGAGATAATTCTCATAATGCAATGTAATTTTATTATTGATTTTTTGATATTTCTTATCTTCTATATTTTTTGAATGAGATCGTATCCAGACTACTGCGACATCCTACATTAACAAAAAGCTTTTATTCTAAACAACAACTAGTTCTATATTCTCAAGACCATGCTGCGAGGTTATACGACATATTGCATTTTGCATCTTCTGTTTCATGTGTGGTATATTCTGATTTAAAATCATTTCCAAGGGATGAGAAACGTGTAGTTAGAAAGAGTAAAGCTGTACATGGCATCGATATAATAAATATGAGAAAGAATAATCGATCTAATACCAACGCAACTTGTTGCCATTCATCTAGACGCTGTTGTTTCATATCACTCGTATCACTGGTGACATTCAACTCAAGATCTGAACTGGTGATGACGTTCGCCCATTTGTGTCGAATATAGGCCTTAATAACATATAAACATTTTAATAGGTTTACACCTTGTTCATCTAATGATGATGAAATATTCTCTGTTGTTTGGATTTCTGCAGTATAATTTTTGTTTGACGATGCTAATAGACAACTAACATATCGTTCAATTAGACAAAGTTGATCACTATCAGCGAGTAACGATGATGTTGTCGCTGTTCGATGTTTTGTTTTATTCGTAGATCGTTTTAATTTCGAACAATCACAATAAACAATAGGTGCTAGATAATCTAATACTATCCGTCGTACGAGTAACGGTACACAATGGATATCTGACGATGGTCTATGATATAGAAAAAGCACGTATACGGTCATTATACATGAGACAAAAACAAGAAAGAAGTTAGCATTACAAAACATTGTTAATAATGGTGTTTCATCTTCTGATTTTGGTATGTATTGTGATAATAATTGCAAATAAATGACGAGTGAAAGAAGAATCGTAACATTCAACGTTAATTTTTCACCCGTTTGTGGTGGTAGAAGAAATGTGAACAAGGTTACACATGAGACGAGTGAAAATGGTAGAATTATTTTTATGACATAATACAAGCGATTTCGTGCAAGTATCAATGTGAAACGCACCATACTAAAATTGGACATATGTTCCGAAATTTTTTCTTCAAATAATTCTGTGTATGATGCTTGAAGATCCCATTCACCACGAATAAATTGATGACGTTGAATTAGACGGCGTTGATAAAATTTAATTGATGATTTATCACGAGCTCCACTGCGAATAATGATTGTACACATCTGACGATCAAATGGAAAATATTTTGCACGAATTTTACACATACCTAAAATATAGTTTATAGAATATGAAGTTATTTTCTAGTATATTCCTTACTCTTCCATAAATCTTGAAACATAAATCTCACGTAACCTATAACAAATAACGACATTATATTCTAGACATACATAATTAATAATAATTAATTCTAAGTATTTACCATCATGTCTCAATATCAATGCGTAATGTTCTCGATTTCCCGAATATTTTGTCTCGGCACTATTGACGAGAATAACATCGGGTATCCATAAATAATTGTGAGAGACAGATAATTCTGTTATATTATTGTATTTAGCCGGATTCCATGTCATCCATGGATCGCACCATGCACAGATCAATTGAATATTACTGGTAACAAACTACAATCAAAATGTGATGTGTATATTTTGTATTATCAAAGAAAAAAGAAATAATTCAACATTGACAGTGTTCTTACCTGTGCTTTTTCATTGACACTTTCAATTTGTAATAGAATTAAATTCACATGAACATTTGTCACATCTGTTGGATAACGTACTGGACAAACTTTTCTATCATAAGATGTTGCTTGAAACAAAAGTCGTCTTAATTCAACTTCATTTGTTTCAGTTAATTTGAAAATATTAAACAACAACAGCAACACATCTATAATTAATGCTACCATTCTACGTGCGTAGTGTTAATAATGATAATAACGGCTGTAAAATGAATATGTTTATAGTTTTCTTAGAAAAATTATTCCTATGTGAATAGATCTCATTGTCATTGATGAATGAGTATTTATATTTATTTAACTAGCAGAGAGAAAGAAATATTTCCCAATATAATATGAATAATGGGTTTCTTTTTCTTTTTCTTCTTTTCGCAGTAAAATACAAGTAGTTTTACCCGATGTCAAAATAAGACAAACAATACCGATAGAAAATGGCTTTCCGAGGTATTTACGATGAATATGAAGGAAACAAACAGATTGATTTAAAATAAAATATTGAAGATTTTTCTAATCTTATAATCGTTCCATTATCAAGACTAAAATTTGGAGTAAATAGATTTTTGTCCTTTTTTCTATATGAATGAACAATTATGAGGATAATACGATAGTGATGATCGCTACTCGAATATATTTACAAGAAATAGTCGAATATCTTTGAGAATAATTACTGAGTGAACGTTTAAGTCTTCTCGACTCACTAACAAGATTTTAGTTTACAAGTTCAGATCTAATGTTACACATCATAGCCTACTGAACTTTTTTGTAGATAATATGTTATCATCCGTCTGTTTGATGTGAAAGAAACGGTGAATTTCATCATATTCTTGTTTATAAAAAACCTTCCGACGTAAGTACTAGTTTATAGCCTCAACTGCGTCAGTATATTAGACAAAAAAATATTGAAACAGCAAACATTAAAAAATGCTTGTGGAAAGTAGATCTTCAACATCTAGCAGATTTCTCAAGACAGAAATATAAGATGAACGTTAAAGATATATTTAAATCAATGATAAGTAAAAACACAGTATAGGCCAACTCAAGCGACAGATCAACATTTGACTTGTTTCTGTAGGTCACGCACAAGTAAATTCAATTATGTAATTATGATGTGTACAAATCAGATTAACTTAGAATCGTAACTCATGCCGAGACGTTCTAATACAATTTAATGCTGTAATCCTTTCATGACAAACCATCCACCATATGATAATCTAAAGAGATATTTTATGACTAAACTTGAAGCATCCACACGTTTGTAGAAAAAATATATTGCGAAGATAAAGAGAAAGACTTTTGCTTAATTTCTTCAAAACACTGTTCAAGTCTCTGGCAGAGATGGACGAGCGGCCACCACTTTTTCGACTCTATTATTTCTAGTGTTTAATCTTACTATGCGATGAGATATTCTTCTTACCATGTTCCCGAATCTCCCTTTTTGTATATAAGAAATACAAAACTACACTCATAATGTTGCAAATTTCCACGTGACTGACTAAATCAGGTTTCTAAGTTTATAAAAAGAGCCTTTCACCGCGTTCGAGTCTGAAACATGAGTCGGATTCGTCCGTTCCATGACATGAGCCTTTTAAAAGTAGAATTCAGCTCTACCGTCTGCTTCATATTTTGGCTGTCAATACTGAAAAATCTTAAGTTTACTCCAAAGTAGACAGCACCGGTACTTACTGGCTGCAATTTTTCCACAAATACCTTTTTATAACGCCATATAATCTTTCTCAAATCTATTTAACAATTGAATTTTGTAGCGAAAATATTTCTCTATAAAATGAAGTATGAAAACGCTTTTTATTTTGACTCAGTAATTAGGTAAAAAATGTTTACTAAAAGTTCAGTTAATCCTGATTTGTAGCTCTTTGTCAAAAAGTGATTGCGACAAAAGTAAAATAGATGAAGAGTTCCGCCACGTCTTATTTTGTAGAAAAATGGCAAAACTAACGAGGGAAGACCCCCAACTGTCCAGAAGCTTTTGGCCCAAAACTTAGTGGACAATAGGTAATCCAGTGTCCTGATTCCGAATATTACATTAGTTTCGGCCCAATTTTAGTTTAAAGATCCGGTTTTTGAAATACTGGGTGAATATGAAAGAGCATGTCGCGAAACCCACGTAAAACTGTTTTTCAAGGTTTTAGAGGAGATTTTGAGCGGCTTTTGAAAGACTAAAACTTAAAACTACACCAAGGAAAACGCGTTTTCGCACTTATGCGTTTTGTGCGATAAAAATACTGTTTTCTAGGTTATCGAACGTGCCAAATTCGAATATTTTATTGTTTTCAGTCTTTAGAAGAGCTAAAGATTTGGATTTGCCGGAGACAATAGTTTGATACAAAAATCTTTTACGCGAATGAAACAGTTTTTCGGATCAAAAAAATGAATTAAAAGACAATTTGAATGAATTACCTTGAATGATTTTTCTGATTTCACGGTTATTTTTATAAACAAGTCGGTTGAAATATGACTAACAATTTACGAAAAAAAACTCGCTTCAATGAAAGTGGTAACTCACAAAAAAGTGTTCAAAATATAGTTTCTTTGAACATCGAGCAAAGTTTATAAAAACTGATTCATCACAATCCTTCTCTTCACACTCTTCATCATTTCTTGATTTTGGGAAGCAAACTTCATTGACATTCTGAAAGGGAGATGGGTCTTCTTCTAATAAGCCACTTGTAAACCATGAATATTTGATCAAAGACATCCGCATTCAACTGATTATGCAAGAGACTAACCAAGCGAATAATGTTATTCCGCTGATGTAAATGTATGTCGAGCTCATACAAAGCCACCCGATTATAAC